ATTTAATATTACTTTCTACACCAGGATCTTTTTCTACATAGCTGACGCTGGTAACTGTGCAGGGGTGGATCTAGCAAAGTTTAGCCAGGGGGGCCGATAGGGCATTAACAGGGAAAAGGGGGCACAAAGACATACTTTTCTTTCTTATTCTCATTTAAAATGTCGAGCTTTTAATAAATAATTATCTGAATCTTACACCCAAAGTTTTAATCTGATGTAAAATGTATAGAAGTCCAATACTGTATATAGTAACTGTTAAGTCTAATATACCCTAGTAAGCTATAATACTTTTTCCTTTGGGAAGATACCATCTGTGCAGTCTGAAGTTCTGTTGAAGAAAGATGTTGAATCTATTTAATTATTCTTGAAAACGAATTTATTTCTGTGCATTTCCCCCCCCTGCATCAAATTAAATTTGATTACATCGATTAAGCATCATGAGGTGGAGGGTGGTTCCCTATTTTGTTTTGCTGGGAGTTTGCAACCCTATTAGTTAGGTTGCTTAATATTTCTGCTAAGTACTCTTTAAAATACCAGAATAGGGAGGATGGAGCAAGTTCAAGTTTATTAGATTGATCAGTATTGCTGAACTACGAAATATTTTGGGTGCAGTGTATTTTTTACATACAGGTATAACAGAATAGCTTTAGTGTTGTTGTTTATTTAAACTTGAATATAAACTTATACAAAATGTAGCAAGATATTAAAGAAAACGTTTTATTGATTAAAAAACACTATATCGGATTCATATCGGTATCGGCAGATATCCAAACTTATGATATCGGTATCGGACATAAAAAAGTGGTATCGTGCCATCTCTATCCTAAACCAGGACTAACAATAACAATATTAGATTAAATGTGTGAAAACACAGGTGAGAGTGAATCATTTACCGGAAATTAAAAAAAATAAATGAGAGGGAGAGAGAGAAAGAGAGAGAGATAAGCTATCTCTAGGTGATATAAAGACAATATATTTATTGCATAGATTCAATTAAATTCAATAATTAAATAATAAAACTATTAACAGGTGATACCTTTGTAAGTAACTGCTCTCTCACTGACCTTTCTGCTTTTATATTGTAAACATTTGTTCCTGTCAGGTTTTTCATGTGATGCAGCCTCCATGCTGTGCAGAGTCCTACAGATGTTATATGATATTATAATATTTTTACACTTTTTTTTCATTAAAAAATGAGTAGGACACTGAATAACTCAAAGACACATGATCTTTGACAATTTCCTCTCAATTTCTTATATCACACATTTATTGTTGCTGCAGGACACCCCCCACCCCCCTTAAGCCGTTTGCTTAAAGACATCTTTCTTCTGATTGGCTCTTTCTGACAAACACTTTGTCTGAATAAACATGTGTGAGTTCTGGTCTCACAGCCAGAAGCTTGTCGGTCACAGCCAATACTTTTCTAAATTTATTTTCTTACTCTTCTTATATTTATTGTTTGTTTACTTGCACTGCTGTAACTAGAGCCTCGTCGTCTCGTCTCTCTGGACTGTAGCGGAGATGACAATAAAGTTTACTTTGACTTCAGCAGCGAGCAGGAGCACCGAGGAAAAACATCGGTGCAAATTATAAGTCTGTATCATGATGTCTGGTGTTTTCGTGTTTGTTGGTTTATTTTTATTTTGTTTTATTTTGCGAGTTGGTTATTAGATGCTGCTCCATCCGGTCAGAGACTCCCCCGCCGCCCCGCCCTCTCCTCCCTGTGCCGCAAGCAGCAGGCGCACCTCGCAAACGGAGGGCGCCCTTACTCCCAGCAAATGGGCGATAGAAAACCAATGGGTGCTTGTGCCATTCCCAATATGCGCTGGCTGATGTCGGGGCAGCATGAGTACGAGCAATTTTTTTTTTTTGCCGATGCCCGTGATGCCGCCCCGTATCTAAAACCGCTACTGGTCCTCCAGACTCATTTTTTAACAAGCCTGAAGGTATAATAATCTCTTTGAAATTAAAAATGTGAAACATAAACCTGCTGGAGAACATCAGAGTCTTATTGTTGTAAATGATGAGAACGAATGAGGATTTTAAAAAGTTCTGAATCCTGTCTTGATACAAGGCCGCCCTCTAGAGAACATATACACCACATGCACTTTTTATATAAAAAAATGAATAAACAAATAAAAAGACTAAAGATATATGCTCAGTGGATTGAAATAAGAAACCTCTCATTGATAATTGATATAATTTCTCTGATAGCTTCAGGTTTCGTGAGCACACCTAAACAGAGGGCGTGTCTGAAGACACTCCGGGAGCCGATCGTCACGAACACCAATAAAAATGAAAACAGACAATGAGACTCTGGCCTGATCGGGAGCACTGCGACTGTCTGAGGAAAGGTGAAATGCAGCCATGAGGCATGTCAGTCTGTTAAAAACACTTTACAGCCTGTTTTAACTTCCCCAAAGCTGTTTATAATTTACATCCTTGCATAATGCTTGAATATAATTATACATCTGAGCTGTCTTAATTAACTGACGTGTGTTTGACTGAGTATTCGCAAGTTTTTACTGATGCACCAGGAGCCAGAATCTACATTCGAATATTCAGTGTTGGAAAATTTTTCCGGTACATCAGCATTAAATATTATCTAAACCACGGCTACAAATAAAATATAATTTTAAATATGCAAAAACAAAATAACTTTTCTAGAGTTATGGTTACAGACTCTCTTCAACTCCCTACACTTATTTTAATAGTCCAAACCCACAACAATCATTAAGTTTTCTCGTGTTTGAGAACTAAGGTTGTTGTTATCGAAATAAAACGAAATGGATGCATATTTGTTTTTACTAATTAAGTTTACACTACTTTTCTTGCATAATAGTAACCAATAATCAAATTAAAATAATATTAAAATAAATACTTTAATAAAATAACCAGTAAATTGAAAAATAAAATAAAAAATAAAATAATTGAATATATTAAAATGTCTGAATTGAACAACATAGGAGGTTGATTGCAGCTGAAGCTGCAGGATTAAAACACAAGTGCAACTTAAATACATGTTCATACTTTGTATTTTACAAATGACGGCTCAGGTTTGTATTCAGTGCTAGAAAAAACAGCACAGGAGTATTTCCTGTTTGTGTTAGTATTTGTGTTGTTGGGGTGCTAAATAAGACGAGCGCTAAATTTAACAACAAAGTTGTTAAACTATTAGACTGACAAAATGTTTGGCTCCTGTGAATTCTTTTAACTTAACAAGTGAACTGTCTGCTCGTTTCTCCAGAAGTGCTCATCATTGGCATCGCTGACACTGACAATACAACAGGAAGTTACTGACAGCTTCCTGTTTTAATGGCAATGTTTTAATGGCAATAAGGAAGTTACGGACACTTTCCGCATGCAAGACGATACTGATGACAGACAGGAGTTTATAATGAAGAGATATAAAAGGTATCAGTGCCGACTTTCAGAAGTAATCTGCATTATCCGTGTTGTGGTCAATCAAACTTAGTCAGTAATTCACTTTAAAAACATAATAAGTTGAAGTCTGAACGTCAACAGAGAGATCACACTGGACAAGGACATAATTGAGCTTTGCATATTTTTGTTATTACTAAAGTTTTATTTTCAGTCTAGTTTCAGTTGGTGAGTTTATTTTCATTTATTATTCGTTTAATATTTATTAGTTTCAGCATTTCTGATTATTTTAATATGGGTGGTATTTATAGGGACAGATTAAGGAGGCTAAGAAATAACTCATAGTTGACGGAGACGTCTCAGTCTTGGGTAACATCCCTGCAAAGCGTTTGCATTGTGTTGTGGTGCCTTGACTTATGAGTTTAATTTGTTCCGTGACGGAGCTCATAACTCAAATTATTCGTATTTCAAATTAATTTTCCCAACTGAAGAAAATTGAAATGCCGCTAATCCGTTCCCTAAAAAGCAGCATTTTTGTAGATACGTGTAGAAGTGCTACCCTCATATTCACTTGCGGGTCGACTACAAGCACACTTTCGTCACGCTATTCACTTCTTTAATTCATTGCACACAATCCACTACTTCTCAGCGCTCGCTTTCTTTGAAGTTTTGCAAAACAACTGCGAGTTGCCCGCTGAAAGAGAGCAAGTGAGGCACGATATGCTGGGCGGATGTTGCGGCCATCACTGCGGTGTTTGCTGCAACAGCTGGCACAAAGGTTTGAGTGCAGTGAAGCTTTGGCTGCGGGCTGTAACACTTCTCTGAGTCATCACCCTGAATGTCCGAGTGTTACAAGTTAATGTTCGCTTTTAGAAATACCTGCAGAAAAACAGAAACTTGTAGATTCATGCATAAAAACACAAAAAAGTAATTTTATTAATATATGAATGATACTGGATTCACACATTGAGTAGGGGAGACCGGGGATAGTTGTAACGTGGGTCAGTTGTAACACTTCTAATTTCTCCAATCAGGGCTAAGTTTCAAATGATGCGACTCATCCTGTGCATGCCCAACTCAGTTCTGCTATCACATGTGAAAAATCAGCACATTTTGTCAAACACAGACAATTTAACATGAAAAAAAGTAATTTGTATGCCAAAAAGTAAGTTTTTCTACTTTATTTCAATTTCTAATAGCATTATCTGCTTTGCAGTTAAACTCATCAAACCTAAATTGTGTTATTTGTATGTCTGTGGGGATATATTCTGTGTAGGTCTTTAGTGCTAATGTTTTAGCCGTTGGCTGTAATGTTAGCTAGTTCGTGGCTATAGGAGTCTGGGTCAGTTGTAACAGCAACAGTCTGGGTTAGTTGTAACAATAATGCAGATGTTACAACTTACCACACTATTACTTTAACTTATATTAAACAAGTTGGGGCAACGACATCAGCAGAGAGAGGTTCACTGGTCACCTTTGTATATGTGGTTAATGCCATTGGCAACACAATTACTTCACTGTTTGTGTTCCCACACATACATTATGCAGACCACTGTGTCAGAGATGGACCAGTAGGAAGTACTGGTAGTGGAAATAAATCAGGATGGGTGCAAGAAACAGATTTCCTCATCTTTCTGAAGCACTTTGCAAACCACACCAAGGTAAACCATGATAAAAAGTAATGGAATTGCGATGCTGGTGAACAACTACATTTTTTCAGCTTCATTGTTATGTTCAAAATTGGTGCAAGAGTTGTAGGTTATAATGCCCACTGAGCCAATGAGGCCAAACTCGAGGAAGACCAACCAAAATTAATGAAATATTCAGTTGCAGAAAATTCCATAATTTGTCTTTTTTGGGGGGTTGGAATATGTTCAAAAGCTAGATTTCTGCATTCTGTCACACACACACACACACACACACACAGCTACATGAATGGATGTAAGTGCATTCATGTGTTGAATAAACAAAGATTACATGTTAATGTTTTGTTAGTACCCTTATTTCATTGTGTTACATTTCACCCCAGGATGTGTTACAACTAACCCAGACTATGGGGTTAATTGTAACATTTCACTCTTCGTGTTTGAGACCATACCATGCAATGGGGAATTGTGCTGCAGAGAAAATAGCTGCACTATTTAATAGCCGAGACATGTAAATACTTTGCATTACATTTTGAATCCACTACCTTAAACGAGCTCCAAATTACAGACAGAAATGTCAAAAATGTTACAACTATCCCCGGTCTCCCCTATAAAGTATAAAATTGAGAAGAAAGAGGACAAAAGTTCTAACCTATAACCCACATGTAAATGAAATTAAAAAAAAACTACAAGACATCCAAAAACCAAAGCAGAAAGAAAACCTAAGTTAGGCAGTAGAAAGATACCAGCCTTCTGAGAGGAGGGAGAGATCGACTCAGGGAGGTTCGGTTAATAAAGGAACTAACAAGTGAAGAGAGGGTGGTGAGAAGACAGAGAGAAACCTGAGAAGCCGATGAATGAAGAAAATGAGAATGAGAGGAATAAGAATGAAGAGGATTATTAAGGGGCAGCACTATCCAGAAACATGATAGCTTTAACATCTGGATTTGCATGGAGAAGGAAGAATAAAAATCAAAAATATCAAAAATTTAATTAAAGTATACAATATCATGTCATTTATTCTAATGCATGATAAAAAATGTTGAGTTACTTGGACCTTTTAAACCATAAAGCATAGCTGTTTTTTGAAAGTCCGTGGAAAAGACAGAAGCATCATCACAGTCAAAAGAACTGTGCAATAAAATTATGACATTTAAAAACGCACAAAACTTACTCAAGGTCAAATTTGAAAACAATGTCTTTTTAAAAATGTAAACCTTGTGTTATCTGAAATCAGATATCAAGCGATAATGCATCTACTGATCACTGATGACAATTGTTTCTTGATTTCCAGTCTCAGCTGATGAAGACCACTGAAGTGCAAATCAAGCAATGAAGAAAAAGCAGTATTACAGTTAAAGATGAAACACGGAAACAAGACAAGAAATGCATTCAAAGAAAGCTCAGACTCACCAAAGGACAGAGATGGATCTAAAAAGCCACAAAGAAACAGAAAATGAGAGAAATGAGACCTCTGACACATCTACTGTTAGAGTGCTCAAGCTTTTCACCACTATCTCTACCTTTTACAGACAGTTTCTCAAGCTAAATATACCAACCATAATCAATTCAATTCATAATCCAAACTTTTGTATGTCAAGGCGGCACAATGCACCGTTTCTATCATCACGTAAAACTGAACAAACTCCAGCTTCCACCTTCATTAACTCTTCACTCTGTACTCTTCCAAAGTTTGATCCTTTCCCCCCACAGTCAACCTCAGCAAAACCCAGCAACACAACTGTGGAACAAGACAGGAAACCTTTACCCTTGTTGTGTCACAGTCTCTGCACCTCACAGGACTCTGCTTGTTCCACGAATGACAGAATTGTTCTAAATCAATTACAGTTGCCTGAGCTAAAGACTCCAGACTCCACCTCCACTACCTTTTCATCTGTTTCTCCTGTTAGGCATCTTTACACACACTTGTTTTTTTCTTTTGCATCAGTTAAAGGCGACTCCACCTCCACTACTATTTCGTCCCCTGATTTTCGTTGCCTTAAAAGGATTTCCTCACAATCCACCTGGATGAAACCAGGCAGCATAAAGATGCAGCAATACAGTACTACTTTACTGCTGTATCACAGCTTCTCCACCTTACAGGACTCTGCTTTGTGCACTAATGGCAGTAAAATATATGATTTTTCCACATTTCCTTCTTGCACCCAGTCCAATATCCCAACTGTTGCTTGTTCAGCTGAATGCAGCCAAGAAGAAATACTAGAAGAAGATACAAGCAGAGTTTCAGTTTCATGGACAGAAGACAAACCAGGAAAAGCAGATCCACCTGTCATAACTGAAGACATCCTACGTACCACAACTCTGCCATATAATTCTGATCTCCAGCTCTCCTCCACAGATTGCTACAGCGTTCCTTCACTGAACAAAATACCAAAGAACAACTCAACACAAGCAGCAAGCTCACCTGACATGAAGTTAAAGGAGTTTTCACCTGCCATCGCTGCTGATGACTCTGATGATGAAACCTACCTGTTCCAGTGCTCCAGTGCAGGCCTGTACCAGTGCAGTGTGACCGGCCTGGTGTTTGTCATGCAGGCAGAAGGAGACGTGGTTTACAGGACTGTCCCTTGGAACAGGAGGCTGCTGGCCCAACACCACAAGAAGCCTGCAGGACCCCTGTTTGACATCAAATGTCAGCAGCAGTCTGTGTGTCAGCTTCATCTCCCACACTGTGAGCTCATCTCCACAGGTGGAGTTCAGTTCTTGCAGGTCGCTCATGTGAATGATGTTGGCATAGAGTTTATCACCCCTCTGCAGATAACAGAAACTCATGTTGTCACAGGGTTTTCTGGTTACGGTAATGTCAGGGATGAAAACTCTCCCTGTGACCCAGTCCGAGCGTTGGTTCTGCTCTTCTACAAACCTCCAGTTGATCCTGATCTCACATCCTTCCTCAGCGTGCTGTTGTTGCCTAAAAATGTTGCTCTGAGAGATGTGCTGCACACCAGGAAGAAACTAGTTGGAGATGAGAGGTACATAGAGACATCTCCTCACTGTAAACTGCATCCAAAGCAGGTTTACACTCTGTCCACTGTTCCTGAAGATGACTCAGTTCTAGTTCAGCCAATAGAGGCCGAATTTGATGAAGAGTCCTATGACAACTACTTCCCATCCTTCCAGGTGATTTTGGAAAGAAACATGAACAATATTCAGTTATTTATTAGAGAAAGCATCAGTTCCACCAGCATGTGGCAAAGACAAGTTTATCTTTTGCCTTCTAGAGTAAAATCGTTCTGTGGGCAAATGCCTTTGAATCTCTCTCCCAATGAGAGGCTGTTAAATGTACGGAGCTGCTTCATCGATGGGATATCACCACCTGTTCTCAACAGCCTGCTGGACAGACTGCTGGAGAAAAAGGTGATAACTGATGCTGAGAGGGAGGAAGCAGACACCATGCAAAACAGAAGCAACAGAGCTCGTTGTGTTATCGACACTGTGAGGAAGAAAGGTGAAGCTGCCAGTTCACAGATGATTGAGTTTCTCAGTGAGCTTGACCTCTTACTCTGTGAACATCTTGGGTTGGTCTGAAGCATCCATGTAAATGTTGCTGCATTTGAGGAGACAGTAAATCACACTTCACTTCAGATTTCATCTGGTTTTCATTGATATAATGAATGATGGAAAACAGTTTAACATAATGAGCTGTTTCACCTGCCATGATTAGCTAGAGATGGAGGAAATGAAACAGGAGAAGGAGGAAGGAAAAAACTCCCATTTTAAAAAATATTCAGAATAAGCCTGATGCTTTTGAAGATATTTATAGTTTTCTTAACACTTCATCCATGTTCAGCGTGACTCTTTGGTAGTAACACAGTAAAACACAAACTGTTTATTTTTCAGACATAATATAAAATGATTAAATTGCTAAATCTGTATTTTGTGCTGTAGTTATGTTGGTTTGTTGTGAAGTCTCGTGTTTGTTAAGGGTAACTGCCAGAGGGTTGAAGGAAGACAACATGGTGATAAAGTCAATCTTCCAAACAACAGAAAATTTACTAATTGTGGTCCTATTAGCAAGTTCTGATAGATTTCATGCATTTTCCAGTGACATGTGTAAGTGACCAAAACTGTGAGGACAGTACGTTTGTATAGTGCAACATATGATATGATAGTATGTGGTTGCATTAATCTGGTGCTTTTGAAAGAAAGGCATCATTGTGGATTTGGATTTGGCTCTGTTTCTGCTCATCATCGTCATTATCATCACAGTGTTGAATTATAACTCCGAGAAAGCTTTGGACTTCCATTATTTCCCAGGTGGCTTGCAGCTCCTTGACACTTCAGATTTTCCCTGTGGATTATAAATATAAGTAAATGTGAGATCTATCAAGGAAGCCTGCTTTCCCGATTATTTCCATTAGCACAGAGCACAGACGTGGAACGCATTTTCAGTGCTGCAAGTGTTTATGTCACCACCAACCTTCTTATCACCACCAAAGATAAGAACACAATCAGCATTAGGTTAGGATGGGTTCATTAAATGAGTAGAATTGATGTGATTTGATTGTTCTTATTTTACTTTTTGCTTTGTTCCTGCCAAACTGCTTTAACAAAATCTGATAATAAAGTGTAAACTGTGGACATTCACTTGTTAACCCTTTGTGAAACAATAAAGGTATAAATCTGAGTATTAATCTTTATCAGTCCAAATTTCTCTAATTGGTTTCTCTAGCCTTTCCAAGCAGTTTCTTCCATTGGAGTCTGCACTCCTGGCTTATAAAATCATCCCTGGTTAACAAGTGACACCATCAAGAGTGGAGCTGAAATGACAGATGTGACTGATAAGATTTGACCTGCAAGACTAGTCAGGTTTCATCACATCAGGGCAGTCAGGCTGGGTGAGTCGCCTCACCTACATCGGCTCCAGATCTTTGCATTATCTATTGGATAAAACTCATAGGATCAGGGGTTAAGATGTCTTCTACAAAGAGCCGAACCAGACTTCCTGTATA